CTGAACTTACCCCTAACATGTAGGTTTTGCCAGCTTTGACAAGGCCTGCTTTTTTATAGCATGGAAGAAAGTAACTAGAACACATGCTCTCTTAGGGCAGGATCAACACCAAGAGAAGAGGTGGGGCTATTCCACTATTGCTGGTCTTGCAGTTGCTTTCAAAGTTTCTATATTTGGCAAAAGAAGCTTGGGTGTATTTATGGCAGTAAATATTTTAAAAATGGTTTATCTTCAGCCTAACAAATAAGAACATACCCTTTCAGCTCTCCAGATCCTTTCTAGTCACATAATTACGGGCTTGCTTGCTCTTGTTTACTTGAGCACTCAAAACAGAATTTGATATGCAAACCCTGAAAGGCTGTAAGTGGCTGTTGTAGTGAACGATGAAAGATTTATTTTGATAATTTTAAGTTTGAATACAAAATTAGCATTCTATATTTTATCTTTCTCTATGAAGGGACTCGACAACTAATCCCATTTGTTTTGGAATTTTTTTCAAGTTTTATTTAGTCTTTGTCTTCTCTTCCCTGCTTACTTTCCTTTGGTTTTCTTCTTCTTAATTTCTCCTTAGCGTTTTTACCCCTTGTGTTCTGACTATTTTTCTTGAATATCTGCCTTTTTCTATCTCATTCCACTGTTTTACCTTGATTTCATCATTTCTCTCTCCCTCAATTCATTAGGAATTGTATTGTCTAAAATTGTATTGTCTAAAATCCTATTTTGGGCTGATTGTCATTGAGAAAAAATGTACATTTGTGACAAATCTGCTTCCTAGTGCTTGAGGGTGCTTCAAAAAGTTTGTGGAAAAATAGATTTGAAATATAATATGAATCCTTCTATGAACTTTTTGAAGTACCCTCATTAAAGAAATGGCTGGGATTGGATCAGAGCTTCTTAAAATTTTCCTGACAGCAACTTCATTTCTGCCAGCTTTCGGTGCAGAGCACACTTCCGTGGTTGCCTGTGAAGGGATGTGGTCCATGCGCACTCCCAACACAGTAGATGTAATCCTCCTTTTTCTCTCCAAATTAGAAAGTTTATTGGAATACAAATAACTGTAATGTCATAGGGATAATCTTGAATCTGTTCTAATTATTTTTATGTCAATTCTTTGCAAATTTTATCTTGGCTGTTATTAGCAACTCATAATTTTCATATAGCTCTATTGACTATATCCTCTGTATGCAATGATATTTAAGAAATGTCCTTTTCAGCTATAACATTAAATGTTTCTGGACATAGTGGTTCATCTTTGAGAGATGTATCCAGTGGTGCCAGTCAGATCAGGCAATTCATTGCTTTACATCGTTTTAAACTCTAAATTCTCTATTCTCACCTTGACTTACATAGTACAATTGTCCCTTGTTGTCTGTGGGGGATTGGTTCCAGGACCTCTCACACATACCAAAATCCAGGGATGCTCAAGTCCCTGATATAAGATGGCATAGAGTTTGCATATATCCTGTGTGCATCCTCTTATATACTTTGTTATCTCTAGATTACTTGTAATGCCTATTACAATGTAAATACTATGGAAATAGTTGTTATACTGTTGTATTGTTTGGGGAATAATCACAAGAAAAAATAGTCTACATGTTCAGATGCAATTTTTTTCTGAGTGTTTTTAATTGAGGTTGGTTGAATCCATGGACGTGGAACCCACGGATACAGGGGGCCAACTGTACCTGTTCCTTTGTTTTTACCTCATGGATCTCTTTAGGCTTTTTATCTTCTCATTTTCTGCCTCTTTACTAGCAATCCTTGGCCTTTTTCCTGTGCCAGACTTAGATTAAATAATTAATAAGATTTTTATGTTCTTTTTGTTGTATTAAGTTTTCAAAATTTGGTGTGCATTTTATATTCATCACACATCTCAATTAAACCTAGTTCCCATGGCTTGATAACCATGTGCTATTATACTTGTTCTAGTCTCTTTCCCTTCACTAATCCCTTTCTCATCCAGTCATAGGTCCTGTTGATTTTATCTCCTAGGTATTTCTCCACTAGGTTAATTTCTTTTCAACCTTATATGTCATAGCTTTAGTTCACACCCTGGTCATTTCTCACTGAGGTTACTGCAATAGCTTATATAACCTAGTTTCTGTGTCCCAGAGAGCTTGCAAAGTCCATTGGAATATAGGAGGATATAGTAGGACATCCACTTCCATGCATTTTTGTCTAGAAAATAAGAAGATAGTTCAGATTTATTAATATTTCTTATACACATTGATGCTAAGCATCCTTGCTCTATGTCTCCAAGAGGTCCATAATAAAGTGACAAATGTAACAAAATACGTTTCCCCCACAAAATTTTTAAAAAGTCAAAAAGATTAATTTATTTCATCTTTATGCCATACTTTCAAATTACTCTCTGTATATTTCCATATAATGTACACAATTTATTAATATGATGGCCATATATAATTTAAAAATAAATATACATGCATTAGGAATATGTACTTGACATTTATTTTTGGTACTGCCAGGTGAGCGAGGTCAGTGAAACTTGAGGTCTCACTGAACAGGGTACACTCTGACTGTGCCTCACCTTCTTCTCAACTTCTTCATCCTCACTATACATTTTCTGCACTAAGTGGCTTTTTCTTACTTTTTTCTTGTTTGTCATTCTCCCTGGAAAACAAACAAACAAATGAACAGGAGAAAAACTTCTTCTTGGCCTAATTCCATTCCTGCTCCAGGCCCTGTGAGGTGCCATCTCCTAAAGACAAGTCTAGCACAGCTTCCTGAGTTGTGTCATGTGTCCCTTCTTTTGCTATGCTGTCATATTGAAATTATATTTTTATGGGTCTGCCTTCCCTATAAGATTCTTGAAGGCAGGGATTGTGGCATCATCATACTTTTTTCACCTTGACATATGATAAGTTCTTAATAAATATGTACTGAACTAAATTCATGGCTCTCTTTAATGGAATCAGCCTGTTCTATCAGTAGGTGAAATGGTCATTTTGCTGACTACAATTTGTGGAGTATCTGGAAGACTTTTTCTATATCCAAAGATACCTGATAAAATCTAACTATTAGTGTACTTTCATTGAGTGCTATGATTAGTGTGCTATTTGCAAGCCCTGATAGGGTGGGCAATAATCGTAGTGTGAAATAATTTAACAGGTTCCTTCTGATTAAAACTTAGGTGTCATCATTTGCTGTAAGGAAAATGAAGTTTTGATTGTATGTGTACATGTAGTGCTCTTCAAGCTTCAGTATGAAAGAGAATCACCTTGGGAATGTTAAAATGTAGATTCCTCTGTGTGTGTGTGTGTGTGTATATATATATATGTATATGTATATATATAGGTGTATATGTATATATAGAGTGCTCTTCAAGCTTCAGTATGAAAGAGAATCACCTTGGGAATGTTAAAATGTAGATTCCTGAGTGTGTGTGTGTGTGTGTGTGTATATATATGTATATGTATATATATAGGTGTATATGTATATATATTGGTATATATACATGTATATTTGTATATATATATATAGGTATATATATATGTATATGTATATATATTGGTATATATACATGTATATTTGTATATATATATATAGGTATATATATATGTATATGCATTCTGATTTGTTCAGACTAGAAGATGGCCCAGGAACCTGTATTTTTAAATTGATCCTAATGATTATAATATTGCTAGTAGAAACCATATGTTGAGAAATATTGTTTTCTTCTTTTTGAAATAGAGAATATGTAGAAGGAGTAATTTTGAGCAATGTAGAAAACTGCATTAGTCTACATGTAAGAGGGATGCTATATGGGGGCCTATAAAAGCAACAGAGCACTAAAGAAGAGAGTGGGCAACTGGGAGATGCTGAAACAGGAAATCAAGGGTGGCAGGAATGGGAGTGTGGAGAGAGGCTTGGAAGATCAGTAATGAGAAACTTTGCTTATTTCATAATTTTCCCTTGGAGTGGCCTTCCTCCTTCAACTAGAAAACGTAATAGCAACATAAAAATGAAATCTAATTATTAGGGTTTCATCTTCCTTTAGGAACTGACACTTACTAGTCATTAAATAAGTAACTTTTTAATATTTTAGGATTTCTGGGATATTGAATGATTTTTGGTATAGGACAATTTTTGACATATAGAAGAATATCAAACAATTCCATAAATTATAGTATTTCATTTCTTCTTCTATGACAACAAAATTATCTAGCATAGAGGACATGGTAAACTAGGCCATATGGGAAACAGCATCTAACTTTACAACATCTGTAAGAAAAAAATACATTTTCCTTTAAATGTCATTTATGAATAATTTCTGTCAAATCTGTAATCCAACTTGTTAATCTTTTAAAATTTAAAAGCTGTTTAAAGATTTTTATGAAGATGCTACATGTTTTATAGTATGACAAATAACAACCAGAAGTACATGGATAAATCAAGGCCATTAAAAACCCTAAACTTTTCGTTTCAGTTTATTATTTCAGCTTTCTCCCTCAAACAGGCTTATTCAGGGCTATTAACAAGGAGCTAATTGGTTGACTTGAGTTTCTTCTTTTCACCATTTGCTGGCCAGTCACTGGTGGAAATCGTAATGACCTGCAAACCAGGCAAACAAATGGGCCAGTAGGCTGGAAGGGGAGAAGAGGCAGTGGGCGTGGAGAATCTCTTACTCATCCAATGAACTAAATGTGTTTTAACTGTAGCAGCAATGTCATAAATAGGCCTGGCACAAGGATACTAGTCTGCCTCATTTCATTCCTATCTGTTTCAGTCCCTCTGCTTCCGCCATCCACTTGAGTCCGAGATTTTGATTTAATTCATTGACGAGACAGACTTCCCTCTGGTCATCTGCACTTTTGGGAGATAAATTCCCCTGAATAGCTCAACAGAAGTTGAGCTTTGGAGGAACAGTGGTGTTCTTGTTGCAATTTATATCTTGTTTTTAACTTCACATAGAAGAGACCTCTAGTCTCCATTAGCTTGTGTTAAGCTAAACACCTCTGCTGATTTCTGCTCTTTTGCAGGTGATTCGCAAGGGCTGGCTAACTATCAGCAACATTGGCATCATGAAGGGAGGCTCTAAGGGATACTGGTTCGTCCTTACTGCAGAAAGCTTGTCCTGGTATAAAGATGATGAGGTAAGCCACAGAGAGTGACAGTGTTCTTATTGAAGTGCTTCTGGTTTAAAGTTAATCGATATTATTGTGATATACAATTTTGGGACACCAGTGGTTCTCTTTCACTGAGATTTAGCTTGGAGTGTTTGTTTAAAGAAGCACTGTTTTTTTTTTTCCTCATAGATTTTTAATTTTATAATATTCTCCCCAAATTTATTATCCTCTATTTCTTCGATGTAGTCATATGTTTGCTTACCTGAAGAAGTATATTTAAGGATAAGGAGTTGAAAACTTCCTTCTTTATAGTAATGTCAAGGTACTGGTACAGTGAAAGCAGTTTTCATTAAATCATGTATTGAACAGACCCAACATAATAGAACATCTTAAGAATGAAATAAATAACTGATGCAGTGTTAATGAAGTTGAAATTGTTGCTGTGACATCTGTCTCAAATGAAAGGCTTCTGAGAGTGTCCACATCATTCATCTTCAAGTGAGTCCCAAATCATTGTTTATACAAATTTTATTTTTTGAGAATTTGATATCTATGTAAAAGTATGAATTATGATAATTATGGTGTTCTGGTTTATGTTAGATGTTAATAATTTTAGTCTTGTGACTTACTGTTCATTTAAATCTGGTAGCTATTCTTAAAAAGTGTCATATTAGTTGTACAGAGCCATTAAAGTGCTATAAAGTGATACTATTTAATTTGGGAGGGCACGGATTGAAAATAAACTATGTTCTAGAAATTTTAATAGTGCTGGTCTGACCCAGGAAGTTTTTGGCACTTATGATGCAGCATGCAAACATTAGTTAAGAATACTCCATGATAGCAAAACTCTGCTCATGTGAGATTGTCTCAATTTTACTTGGCTATAAAGGGCATGCATTTCAGAGTTAAAAGTCCTTCCTATCTCGGCTTGAAATCTTTTGAAAGTATTACAAGGTGACTTTGTTCTTGGAGGAAAAGTTTCATGTATTATATAGTTCTTTTCATTTCCCAAGTGCTTTGTGTGCAATAGTGTGTTGAAAAAATATTGGATGATTGTTTAATTGCCACTAAATTTTCTCCAAAAAGGGAAATCAAATCCCATAGAAATGTCCAAAAAAACCTACTATTCAAAAACTCATATTTAAAATTTTATGTCACCGACCATGGTCCTAAGTGGAATTGGTCATCATGACAGTCTGAGGATTAGCCATGGTTTCCTTCCTGGACTGTCATTCTATGGAAGCTCTAGTATTAAAGAACAAAACTTGAGGAGCTCTGGAATTGGTCATCATGACAGTCTGAGGATTAGCCATGGTTTCCTTCCTGGACTGTCATTCTGTGGAAGCTCTAGTATTAAAGAACAAAACTTGAGGAGCTCTGAGACACCAGTAAATAGATGATCGTTTTTGCTGTTCAGTTGCTCTAAGATATCTAATCTTAAGATACATTTCCCTTCAAGGATTTAGATGATCATTTATGTACATTTAAATACATGTCAATCTTGGGGCCTTTCTCAGTTATACCAGGGCAAGCAAAATACTTTACTGAGGAATCATAATGTAATGGCTAGTGTGTTTTATGTATATTAATTAATTAACTCAAGTTACAACCCTGTTTTAGTCCATTTTGTGTTGCAATAATAGAATACCTGAAACTGGGTAATTTATAAGGAAAAGAGGTTTATTTGGCTTACAATTCTGGGACAGCTGCATCTGGCACGGGCCTCAGGTTGTTTCTACTCATGGTGGAAAGTGGCAGGCAGCCGGCGGGTACAAGCAGATCACATGGCAAGAGGAAGCAAGAGAGAGAGAGAAGGTGCCAGGGTCTTTTTAAGCAATGAGCTCTCGAGCTCTCGCAGGAACTAATAGAGCGAGAACTCACTCATTAATCCCCTGGCCCCCAGGGAGAGCATTAATCCATTCATGAGGGATCCGCCCCCATGAGTCAATCAGTTTCCAACACTGACACATTGGAGATCAAATTTCCACATGAGTTTTGGAGGGGACAACACATCCAAACTCCATCAAACCCTAAGGATAGATACTATTATTATCCCTATTTTTCAGAGGAGAAAACAAAACAAACAATAAACCCCCCCAAACCAACCATTTGAAAAGTCATTTATATAGGACTCAATTTCCCTTATTGCAGAACATTTAGTGTTGGCTAGGATAACTAACTTCCTAAAATCACATAGCTAGGGAATGGCAAAGCAGAAATTTGAACACAGGCTGTCAGGCTCCAGAGACTGTGCTCTCAACCACAAATGAAGGCAAGAATCGCAGAGATGTCTGGAGTTGTCCAAGTCAACCTCATCCCACAGAGGATTTATGAAGATGATTTCCAGGTGTCTCAGCATTGACCTGTTCCTGGGTGTTAGCACCAGGGGCTCCGAATACTCTGGGGTAGTTACCACTGTTGGATATGGCTTTAGGGTTCCGTTGTCTGGCTGTGTGGCTCCTAAAATAAACCCATCAAAAGGCTTGTGCTGCTCTCTGTAGGGAAGGAAAAAGCCTTGAGAGCTTGGTGAGCTTATGGTAACTAGTCATCTCCTCTCTTGTAAGGACTCAGGATAACACTTTATAAAACACTGCTACTGAAGCTCCCTTATGAGTTCTTGACTACAGCAAATAGAAAATAAATATGTGCAGTTATAATATTAACCAAGTGTCAGTAAACATTTTATTAAAGGTATGTGTGTGGAGGGTGGTTGGGGGCAGGGGAGAGTGGGTATGAGGCTTGAAATAAAATGGAATAAATAGAAAATAAATATGTGCAGTTATAATATTAACCAAGTGTCAGTAAACATTTTATTAAATGTATGTGTGTAGAGGGTGGTTGGGGGCAGGGGAGAGTGGGTATGAGGCTTGAAATAAAATGGAATGATTTAGATGAAGAAACTCTAGGAAAGGATAGTTTTCTCCATTTAGATCATCTCAAGAAAGAGAAAATGACAGATAACGTTACTGTTCTGTAGAAGTAACAAACAAGTAGGCTAATAATATAATATCAGATATTAAGTGCGCTGAAGAAAATAAAATAGGGAAATGAGTTGGAAAGTGATGGGGGAGGGGCCTTTAGATTGGGTGATTGGAAGGAAGTAACATTTGAGCAGAGACTGGAATGATGAGCCATGCAGAAAATTTTGTTGAGAACATTTCAGATAGAGGGAACAATAAGTGTAAAAACCTCAGAGATGGGAACCAATAGGAAGTCTGTGGCTGGGAGGTAGGAGAAGTTCGAGGAGAGAGGCAGGAAATAAAATCAGTCCCCACCCAATGATGTGGATTACTCCAAGGTTAATTGAGAACCACTGGAGTGTTCCACCAGGGTGTGGCATGATTGGTTTCATGGTTTAGAAAGATCATGCTGGCTGCTGCATCGTGCATGATGTATTTGGGATGGGATGTGTGAGTCGAGGGAGTGGGAGTACAAGAATAGAAGAAGGCGGACCAGCTAGGAAACTGTGGCAAGGGTCTAGGCAAGAGGTGATGGTGGCTTGCATTAGTTAGTAGCTGGTGGTGAGAAGCACTCATGTTCAAGGTAGCAAATCTATGGGCTACATACAGGTACACTTTAGTCATTAGCTACTGTTACTCATTCAGAACTCCACTCAAGAAACAGCCTAGGAGTATTTCAAAATATTAATGACTCCCTCAAGAATGACCATGATCTTCAAATTGTCTGTGTCAGTGGGGCGGAGGCTTTTTCCACTGGAGCCATCATTATTCATTCCCACCTCACCACTCTTTAGCTGCTGCCGCCACTGTCCTTTTCTACTCTGCTCCATTCACCTCTTTTGCCAGTTTCCTGCCCCTGCAGACTGTGTTTGAGCCTGCTGTCAGGGAACAAGGGGAGGAAAGCACGGTTCCTTGCTCTTTGCTAGTATTTAACAAGTAATTATTAGTGTATTTTGGGAGCTGAGGCTGGAAGAGGATATGGGGAAAGGAAGTAAGCAGAAAATGTTAGGAGAGTCGGGCTTAGAGGCAGTGACCCATATCTAGCCTCCTGAATTTGTGTGATACTCATCCTTGAACAGCAATGTTTTAAATGATGCTTAGATTCCATAAGGTCTTGCTGCCACAGATCAAGCACATATGGATGAACATGGTTCTGTGGGCAACCTCAAGAATCCAAAATTTAGAATATTCCTTTATGAAATAAGCTCCAGTTCTAACTCCACTTTCAAAGCCAATCTGTAGGTAAGTTGAATGCTTGCAGTTTGCTCCTTTAGACACAACAGCACCTATACACTTTGGAAATCCTGTTACAGGACGATTTATCTTTCTTGGTCAAGCAAATGTAACACAGGAAATACCATTAAGTTAGTTGTAGATTCCTTCTTTTATTCAATGATAAATTTATATTAATATTTTCGTGGAGGATTGTAATCTTTATGCGTTCCATCATGCTCCTGCTTTCTTATATAATTAGAGTGATATGTTTTCATTATAATCTAAATGGCTGTTTAATAAATAGCACATTATGTCATATGAACATGAATATGGTTTTATTTAACTTATGACAGGTCTGTAATAAATACAATGCCTTATGATATATACTTTTGATTAAAAAACAATGGCTCAACTGTTTTTCAAGGTGACATGAATTAACAAAGGACCCCACAGACCACATGCTTGTTGCCATGGGAAGGGTGAGGTGCTAGAGGATGTGGGGTTACTATGACTAACTGGAGCAGGTCACTTCATTTCTCTGAGCTTTAGTATTTTCATTTATCAAATGGGGACCATTGCTGAGCAAAACACTTCAAAGGGATGTGTAGGACTCAGAAATCCCATGTTAATAATTGCTCTTGGTATCACACTGGTGTATTTACTCTTGCCATTGCAAATAACACCATGCCTTCCCACTGTGATGTCATTCTTTGACTCACATGGCTTCTAATTTCCAAAATTTTGTTATTTTATGTTGTAAAACAGGATGAATATATGATCTGGGCTTTCTTAGCAGAGAATGGTAAGGTTCAGACAATGATAGGGAACTCAGATCCCATTTCTTCAGTGAGACTCTGCATGCTGTCCCCC